TGACTTCTCCCATCCCCAAAATATTTCCAGTAGAGCAAGAACAGCATTTGGTGTCACTAATCTGCAGAAACACTTGGATGCCGGTACGGCTAAATTGGCAGGCATGTCACGGATCAAAGAGGATAATCTGATATAGTTTAAATAATACGTTTAAGGAGTGTTAATTTTTTGCTGGTTTTAAAGATGCATGACTCGGTCTGCCTCACAGGCTATCTTCCACGCAAATAAAAGCTACAACTCAACTCTTGCAAATGCATCGTTAGGGTTGAATTACCCAAAGGCGGCAGAAGGACGCTGCTCGAAGACCAGACTGCTTAGAATAATTTCCTGAACTTTTAAATGAAATTACTGCTGCGTAGAGGCATGGGATGGCCTGTCCTGGAAAACAAAGACACCTAGCTGTTACAAGACAAGAGTAGGACAAGCAGGGAGATCTGTCCCGTCAATTTATTTCAACCTTGATCTCGCAGAGGGCTGAAGTCCTGGCCCCGTGCCCTCCCCACCGAGCCTGCTCCGCTACGCTTTTCAGCAAGATCGCAGCTTGTTCCAAATGCAATTCCAGCTCTGAATAGCTGTCAGATGGAAACAGAGTCAGTCGCTACTGACCTCGGCTGGATTTAAAATGGCAGCAGAGACGCAAAACGCTTTCTATTCTTCCTGCCCGTCAGCCACCTGAACTTCTGAAAGTTAAATTATACAGATCACAGCTTGAAAATATTGTAAAGAAGATGTAGGTGAGTCAAAGGAGTGAACCTGATGGCCGGACAACGCTGGGAGGACAAGTGAGAGATTGCCCATCTGCATCGGCTGCTCTGACTCTTACCAGGCTGATATCCCTGGATCTTATTAAGCGGCTCGAAGTGTGTTCTCAGCCTCCTCCTGCTAGAAATTCACATTTCACAAAGCCTCCTTATTCATCCCTCTCTATCTAGCTGCTGGAAATAAGAAGCACGGTTTGCTTTCACATACTCCCATCCCAAGAAAGCAAAAAGACCTTCTGCTTTTTCCCTTTCCCAGCTTCACATCAGTCATCCTCCCGAGAGGAAGAGGTTTAGCTTTTCCCCAAAGCAGCAGCACAGTATTAACACAATTCTTGTTATTTTCACAGCTATTCACAGGGAACCTGGCAGCAGCAGGGAACGGCCACGGCAACAGTCACGTCACTCTGCCGTGACTTGGCACCGGGGCTTTCTGCAGGCTCAAGGAGAAAACCGCAACACTTCACATTTGGAAGGTTTCTCTGCCGCAGCAAAGAACGAAGAAATGTGTTCCCGCTCCGAGAAAGAAAACTGCAGAAATAGAGTGTGTTCCCCCTGTTGCCCGAGGCAAGCAAACAAATGGGTTAGTAAGCCCTAACTCTGAAGCGGACAGAAATGTTACGTACAGAGGTATTAAAATATGACAGAGTTCTCTTCACATCCTCCTTAAATCACAGTTGAAATCACAGTTGTGGCAGAGGGGAAAAAGCTGCAGCTAGACGTGGAAATGCAAGCCGTGCTTCGACCCACCGCAGAAGCATCCGCACTCGGAAAGCTGGCACCTGATTCTCCACAGCTTCGGTGCAACCGTAAAGAGCGATACGGCTTGCCAATGGAGAGGCAACAAAAGATGGTATCATTCTGTTATGGAAAGCAGCTCCAAGTAGCTACACCGCTGCCCGAAAATTCACATGAGGTTCTTCCATACCGTATACGACCTCCAACCCCTTTTTTCTCGAACCATGGCCTTCTGCACTGAGGAAGGCAACCACTGAAAGAAAAGTTTAATAAACGTTTCCTCTGAACTGGTTCCATCTTCTAGTGCAGATGGGCCTAAACTGCTTTCAGCGCTGTTCAAGAAAACATTAGAGACACCATAATTCCCACACATACATACACATACACATCCATTAAATGTACAGAAATAATATTAAAATGATTCCCACTACCATACCTTATACTGACTCTAGCTACAAGCTATAAACTTCACCTCAGCGAGGCCCGGGCAAGAATATTGGCTCTTTTGCATGCAATCAGAAATGATCGTTTATACAGTGGCAACCTCTGCACCAAAAAAACCCCAACAAACAAACAAACAAACAAACAAAAAAATCAAAAAAACCCCAACATAAAAGAGGAAAAAATAAAAACCTTTCACAAGCTTTGTTTTCAGACTAGCCTAGGACGATATGAAGGACCAACTTCATGGTTTTCACCAGGCCAATTGAAAGTAGTGAATCAGCAAAACAGGATGCACTGCTGGCACCCTGGGCTGTTAGGATGCTCCTGCGTTCACAGTATCGATACAGTAAAACAAAAACCTGCTCAAGAAACTTCACAGCCATGCCATACGAATCAAGGCATTCGCCGTTTTATGTCAGCCCTTCATCACTACGCTTTGACGGATCGGTTGCCATCTGTTTCAGAAAAAATGTTGCTTGTATAGCAGTTACTGCACCTTCACCCTTCTCTTCACAGCAAGCTTAGCAGGGAAACTTTCCCACTATATTTATATATAATATATGTATATAAATAATTTTATGTTTTTATAGTTTGGTAGTATTCTTTTAAAAGTTCTATTTTAAAACACTTAAAAATCTTTTAAGCAACTAAAAGCAACTTTTGATGCTCTCTAGTGTGAACAGGATAGGATTTCAATGTTTTCAACTTTTTTTCTTTTTGATTTTTTGGTAACTTCAAAAGCTATGACTAAAGCAGCATACTCTGCACATCTCTGCTCCTCCCCGCGCCTCGATTGCAACGAAACCTACCTTAGCCACCCTCTTATCTCTCATCTTCTGCGACTGCTCTCTGGCAACCTTACTGTTTCGGTACAATCCTGTTTGACCTTCGACAGGAAACCCAGTGGGGCTGGTCCCTCGGGTGGCCGCTTAGAAAATCATTCACTGTGTGACGATGCACTTGACAGGAGAGGAGGAAGAAGGGACAGAAGGAAAACGGAGGTGAAATATCAGTTTTCCTGTTTGAAATGGTCAATGAAATTGTACTTTGCAGGTGCCCGGCGCAGAACACCTGCAAAGCTTCCTCTCTTCGGAGCACAACCCCGTTACACGTGATCCTGGCACCAAGCCCTTCCCCCCCGCCAAAAGAACATTAGAGCCACATCTGCTTTTTGAGAGAGGCATGGGAGGAACAGTGAGACCCCTCACTTATGAAAAACATAGAAAGCGAGGCAAGAATACATCACCCTTCTCCAAATTCTTTCCTCTAAAGGGGCAGGAAAGCGACCCCGAGTGCCAATTTGCAGGTGGGGAAAGCGAGAGCTAGAGATGTTTCCACGTGCCCAAAACCATGCAGTCAGACTGCGGGGCAAGCTTTATTCTCACTTGGTAAGTCTCCTGCCCGCCAAAGCCACGCTCTAACCGCTCGCCCAGCTTGCTTCGCCGAAGCAAGATGAAGTCTATTCCTTTTTCAATGTCTCATTGTTCCTCCCATCACCTTAAGGATCAGAACTTCATCCTTCCTTATTGTACATGTTATACACCCTCGAGAGAACTCCTTCATCCACTCGTCCTCTCCCAAACCCAATCTGCGCAAGCCGTCGTTCATTTTCCCCCTCCATCAAGAACAACTTGGCATCAGAACCAGAGAAAACTCTTAAAGTATTGCATATTTTTTAAAAGACTTCTTCAAAAGATGTCAAGATATTTGCACTTATCTACCTGTCCCATGCTTTTCTGCTTATGAAACACGTAAGCACGTGCAAACACCTACAATACACAACGCAGGCATGTCTCTCCGGGTTTGCTTAACTTGCTCTAAACATCAGAGCTGCTTAGAATACAAAAGTTTAAGTCCATGCAAGGGGACAGAGTTGTGATTGCTCTAGGAACCCTTCACTTTTAAGTTTCCTGAACCATTACGAGGAAATAAAGTAGGGTTTTCTTTTCTTTTTGCATTTCATTGATAAAAAAGTTATCAAACTAGTTTGTAGAAACACGTTTAAAAGCAACCACCCACGATTGCTCAGCTGGGACGATAGTATTTCAGTATACCATATTGCTGTTAGAAAAGATCAAGTGGGCGTCAAGGGGGGAGCAGGGGTGAAGGACGACTTTGGTAGCCAGCCTCTAACTCCGCTATTCAGCCAGTCCAGAAAAACTCTTTCTAACACCCGGCAACACCTGAAGCACGGCAGCGTCAAGAGTGCTCTGAACTCTCCAGATCAGCAATAGCAAAGGACAACCTCCTCCGAAAGACCCCTCCAACCCTTCTCCCAACGCATCAGAGTCTAATGCAAACCTCAGAGCTGCTAAATTTCACTTTCAGTAGCCGCAGCGCTTCAAATTTGGCTGACCTCTAGAATACTGCTTCATAGCCGTGCCCGCTTGTAACAAGGGGTGTTGAGGCCGCACGCCTGGAATGGGCAAGCCCTAAAATAATAGTTTAAGTAAAAAGGTAAAAAGAGACACACCAAAAATAAGACAGGGATAAATACACTTGGGCAAGGCAGGTTCCACCAGGACAGTCTTTGTTTCTTTTGTTGTCTTTAACGTGGCGACTTCCTGGGGAAGGGAGAAAGGCAACGGCACCTTGCCCCTGCTCTCCCCTTGAGCTGGGCCAGCAGATATGGCGAGGAGCAGCCCTAGGCTCACCGGGTCTGCACGGCTGACAGCCGGTGGGACCTAGCTGCTGGGCCAAAACGCTGTCGAGAAATACAAACGACTGGTCGTCCCAGATCACTACGGAACATTAAAAAAATTTAAAATCCTGTCGATCCCTGAATAAGAAGTTGATTGACACAGTTGTTTTGTTTTTCTCCAAGAGGAGGAGGAATAAGGGAGAAAAACTTTTAACACTCTACGTGTGTGTGTGGGGGTGTGTGAGAGAAAGAGAGAGAGAAAGAGAAAGATTTTTCTATTTTGGCAACATCTTGGGAGCTTCTTTCTGTCCAGTGGTGGCATTGCACTAATTACAGCACCAGCCTGCCAGGCTGGTGCTGACTCTTTAGAGCCAAAAACGGGAAGATGGTCCTTTCTCCCCGGACTCCGCAGCCGTGTTTCAATCTGGCCCAGTCGTGGACACAGATCCCTGTGCCGTCTCCCCCACAGCAACAGCTTCCTCCTGCGGAGGAGATTCTTCCTCTGCCTGCCCCCGAGACGTGACGGTGGTCTCGGGGGAGATGCTGTGAGGCCCCTCCAGAGGCATACAGCCAGGGTGGTTCTTGCGAAAGTGCTGGTTGAGGATGGCCTGGAATGGGAAGCTTTTGCCACAGACGTGGCAATGAAAGGGCTTGTTGCCTGTGTGCTTGCGGATGTGATACTCCAGCTGATCCTTGCGGGTGTACTTCTTCCCACACATGCGGCAGACAAAGGGCGTGATGCCCATGTGGAGGCGCATGTGCCGGTCCAGGCTGCCTTTCTGGTTGAAGGATTTGGCGCAGTAAATACAAGTGAGCCGTGGGTTGTACCGGAACCAGCGCTCTGAAACCTCCTGCTCCCGCAGATATTCCACATAACCGCTCACTCCGTGCATGACGGATTCCTCCCCCTGAGAAGGAAGCAACAGAGATTTAAATAACAAGCAGCCTAAACAAATAGCAGGAAAGAAGATCAGGCCCCAGTCCAGCCAGTAAAGCACCGAAGCATGTGCCAAACCTCGAAATCAGCAGCACTAATGTCTTCAACCTCAAGCACACATTTAAGTGCTTAACTGGAGCCTTGGGGCTGAAGACAAATGAGCAATCAATTAGAAACCTCTGCTATGGCGGCCCCTCCTGCCAAGTCATTTGCTAGGTCCGGGGAAGACAAGACGGCCCTTGTCAAGAGGCTCCACCGCTTGAGTTGTGGATTAAACGTGTCAATACACGTTACTTTTTAAAAAGCTTGGGCCAGTTTGATTAAAATACTGCATACCACATTCCGTTTTACTTACTAGAGGTTAAAAAAAGCAGCCAATTGATGAGCTTGCAGTAAAATGAAGGTGGAATAAACTACAAATCATATCTGAAACTCTTCAGGTGTCATTTTACAGAGGTATTTACTCAGGTGTCATTCAGGATTCATTGTATAATGAATCACATTTGCCTAAATGGCTGTGTAACCCAGCCCAGCCCCACGGCGTTGCAGGGGAGGATCTGCAGCACAGAGAGCTAGCACTCCCGGCCCGAGTCATACGGCAAGGACTAGCTGGCTCCTCGTTATTTTCTAAAACCAGAAAGACAAACAGCCAAGGGTAACCCCGAACCACAAGCTCAGGCTCCAGGGCAGCCGCTTCTGGCTGTCATATTCAGAACGAGCACAGACAGTCTTCTGACCGCCTCCGTGCTGGAGGATGCAGTATTTGCACTCCCGAGTCTTAACACTGTTTCCTGACGATGCCAAACACGGACAGTATAACCAGTGTAACAGTGGGAGGGTCTCTCCTCCGGCAACCAGGGCTGTGCATGCGTGAGCAGGAGCCCAGCTGTGCCAGGAGCTCTTGAATCTGGCTGCCCAAGCACTGGTAAGCCACTCGGGACTAAAGGAGATGCACAAAGCTATGGTACTTTCTTTCCACTCTACCACTGCCACTGGGCAGGGATCACGGGCAGACTATTTTTAGCATCGATACGGCAATACCGATAGAGCGGAAGGGGATGATACTTCCCTGTGTACGTGGTTGGCTACGGTTTTACGTTTGAGGCCATCTCATAATGGAGAAATAATAGCAGCTTTTCTGTAAGTAGGGCTAAAATTCCTTTGTATGTCGCATTTGCCCTGGAGGGTTAGTTTGACCCAAAATTTTCTAGATATATGCTGAGGACACAAAACAAAGCTTTGGCAAAATAGGAACAAAAACATATATTTTGTTTTACGGAAGTGTATAACAAAGTTAGCAGATAGCAATCATGATTTTTTTCCCCCTTGCTTCACTTGGTCTTACTCAAGGGCAAAGCAGCCTGGTGACTCCTCACCTGCCTCTAGCAAAGTCATTTGGTTACGAACTGACACATTATTTATCTGCCAGGCACACAACAGTCATTCTACACCGTGTCGGGTGATACACTCACACTACAGTGCTGCTATACTAACTGTATGCAACAAAAAAATTAGACCAAAGTGATTCTGCACACATATTACCACCATGTCCCACTTTGCTGCACTCTACAGCCCACTGCCCTCCCGTATTTCCGCATATCTCTCCCTCCTACCCCAAAACTGTGTCCGTACCCCAAGAAAGCAGAAAAGTCAGAGCTACTTTACCTTGCAAATTCTGCTATGCAACACAGTCCCTTGGGGACGAGACAGAGACCTCTGTACAAACCCACAGGCCTTTGACACTCCAACTCTAAAGGTTTACTGGTGTAGTGCCTGGAGGGCTTTTTGGAATGGTTTTGGTACTAGCATGGAAAGGTTCAGCTGTTGCCACCCCTCGGTCTTCCACAGAAGCCAACTAACACCTCCTCCCTCAGCTCAGGGATTTGCTGCCAGGGTTTTAGGGCAGATCCAACTCTGCAGGCAAATGGGGTTCCTCCTCAGGAGTTGGTGGCCTGCCCAGAGCGAGGGCTGACATTTACGTCCTCAGAAAACAAGAGAAACTCCTCGTGTTTTGCAGGTATCTGGTCACGATCCCAAACGACAGCCAAAATCAGTTTTAAATTGTATACCGATGGTATACATTCTCAGTGTGAGCAACTAAAACCTTTGCAACAGTAAAAGGTCCTTGTTTCACACACAGTATTGCTTGCAAACAGGAAATATTATACACTTCATCACAACGTAGTCCCCTTCACCTTCAATGCCAACATTTACTTGCAAATTTCTTGGTCTGCCTACCTGGGAACTGGGCTGCTTGGGCTCATCCATCCGCCTGGGAGACTCGCTTTTTGATCTGTACCGCTCAGTCACAGCAACCATGCTGCCAGAAGGGCTAAATCTGTGGGGTGGGGGAAGAGTGTAAACGGAGTTTTTAATGGGCATCAGGTCACTACAGTGTTTAGAACAACGGGTGAGCAATAGAGGCACCTGTATAGCATCTCTTCATCCTCACCAGCTAACACACAGGAGGTGGAACAGCACAAGTATAAAGGAAAAACCAAGTCATACTGGTCTGTGGTTTCAGTCTTAACATTTGAAAAATAAAACTGAGTCATTTGGCTTCCAGTTCAGTAACATCGGTTGCTATCGCAAGTCAACCGATATGGGCCCAGTGACTCAGAAACTGCACAACAGGGGAAGAAATCATTTCTCTACAGGCACCTCTCATTCACCACCCTCGCCCTCCTGCCCTTTTTGAGTGTGAAACAAAAGTGATGTGATGGACTCAGGGTGGGAAACAGTGGATATTGAGTGCCGTGCAAAAAGAGATGCTCGAGGCTAGCTGATCCGTGGGAAAAA